CGACACATTTTGCCCTCATTAGAGCAGAAATGAATGTAGCCGATTTGGTTACCTACTGCCTTCATCCACCATTTTCACTCTTATTCGCTCCATCACGTGGCTACTGACCACCTTACGCATATGGCTCGTGCGCACCGGATCTTGTCCGTTTGCGGAGTTTGTCAGGAAACTCGACAGCTTGTGACCAGCCAAATGGGCATTCGTTAACTTTTTGATCCTCACAGAAACTAATGTACGCGAAGGTCTACTAGACTTTCGACTTTTTCAGCCGAAATCGACATGTGAGGTCCTATGGCTCTTGAGTACGAGCCTTGAGTACACTGCTTACGATTGATCTTTTCTTCAATTTTTAAAGACCACATGATTAAGTGATCTGAGCGAAAGTTGTGAAGGCTTATTGAAATTTCTGGTAAATGACTCGAGTTTATTCAGTCGTCAACTGGCACCCAGTTAATGTTCAAGTATCGCGTTTACTTTCACCTTTCAGTCAACCTCAGGTTGTTTCGGTATCAAATCAAACTCGTTTTGTCTACTATGGGACTGCCACTGTAGCGCTCACAAAATCACCGAACAAGTATCAAGCGCAACCACTGCTCCCCTATGCCTAGCCTGCGACTCTAAGAAATCAGTGATTTTCCGCCCAGCTGAGGTGCATGCCGATCGTAAGACGTCTGAACAATCAAATCGCCCTCAGCAGTTGACCAGCCAATGGACAAGAATGATTGGTGCTGAACAGGAACTCAGCCCGCAGGAGTTCATCAAAGTCCTGGCAGAAACAACAAACGGTTTTATTACCTACAGCACTGAGGCGTTACCGGGATATTTACATCTATCGCGGCTCATCAACTTGTCTCTTCCGAGTAAGCCCCTTTTTACAAGTTGTTTGCCAATTAGGATGTTTTTCTGCCGATGGTCTGAAATCAGTCCTGGGAGTTGGACGATGGCAATAGCCAACAAGAATAATCACACTTTAGACTGTTGATGTCCGGATGCACAAACAAACCAAGTCTAAATTGATTGCACTGAGGTTGATTTCGATATAGACATGTTTCGAAAGTCCAAACAGGGGCTTGTGCACCGTAAGGTGATTCCGCTATTTAGTAGGTGTTTTGGACCTACAGGCAATTTGTTATGCGCCAATGCAGTTCAGAATCTTAATCCATACTAAAAACTCGATTCTCTGGATGGCACAACTACGGAATCCCCAATGACGCCCGGCATGTGGCTAGCTATTAAATAACATGTAGGATAGACTAAATAGTGGATAAGTTTTAGCACGGCGTAATATGCATCCAATTACGCTGCGAGAAATGGCTCAACTGCTTAGAGCGCGAAGGCCTGTGGTTCGAACCCGACCTCTGCCTCTCGACTTCCTCTGTCTAGGCTTGGAAAACCTGGCAGTATCCCAGCCCTCGTACTTCCTTCGGGTAGAATGACAACTAGGCACCGGAAGAGTGTTACAGCTGAACGTGTTGTTGTTGGAATAGACATCCAGTAA